GAGAGAGAGAGAGAGAGAGAGAGAGAGAGAGAGAGAGAGAGAGAGAGAGAGACGTAAGAGTGATTTTTCTCCGCTCGATTCGAATCCACGGAAACTTCGTCGGTGGGAAAGGTCAAGGTTTCCCGGCAGATTTATGGATTTCGAGACGTTTTTAGAGGGCCCGCCGGTGCGTCGTCGCGTGGGCGGAAGCTGCGGTTTGCTCCCGAAAAATTTACGCCACACCGTGGCCGATCCAATCTTTCAACCGACCTTGCCAGTACCGCGGAATGAACGATGTCCAGGCGTGATGATTAATACTGGCGAGCGCGTTGTTCGAATCGACCGTTTATAACGGTTTCCGCGGGCCCGCGCGGACGGGGATATTGTCTCGTCGTGCCAGATGAGAGAAACGAATGTGTTTAACCCTCAATTGCTACGGTTAAATTTGGGTAACTGTGTGATGAGCTCACTTTGACCTCAATAATAAATTACGTTAACGGCGCGCGTGGAAACAGCCGCTTCGACTTTCATTACTTGCCGTCAAAGGGGGAAGGTAGGTATGAGGGCCGGGTAGAAGAAACGAAGACATACGCGCATACACACGCCTCGTGGTCTTTGCCTTATTTATTCTTGTACAGACTTGTGAATAATTAATTACTCGTTTAATTAATTATCACGTGTAATTGGCGATTTGTATATGCTAATTTAATTAGAGATCGTTTAATTGACAATTTCAACTCAATTTCAATTAAATTGAGAACCATTACAAATGTCATTATGCTGGGAAACGGGACAGCATTAATGGAGTCTGCGCGAAAGATACGAAAAGGATAACGTGATTGTGTCACTGCTTACCTGACATGACGTTTTGACGGTCTACGTCTCTACGTTATCGACATTTCTCGAGTTCGACATTTCCTTAACATTCTGTTAAAATTTAAGGGGACGCTAAAGTGGATGACGAACTCCAAAAATGTCGATCACGTAGAAGCGACCGTCTCTAACACAATTATACTACCCTTTTCGTGTTCTTTGTACATCTAGTATACATAGATCTTATATAAATGTGTGCTATTTTTTGAAAACTTTCCGTATATTTTTGAGCTTCTACATTCAGTTGTAAAAATGCAGGAATGTTCCTTGAAATATTTTAACCTTCTCGTCATATATAGATCAATGCTTCAATTCATTATTGTCAGTGCATAAAAGCCCTTATAATTCTGCGTAACCAATATAACGTAAATCTTGCAGAAAAAGCCAGTATTTTGTCGGTAAAGTTTTCAAGTATAGTCCCTAAAAAAGATTCCTAATGAATAGGAATTAGGTTTCTAAAATGAATTTACGCATTAATTACATCGAGAGTAAA